CCGACCTTAGCGACGGGTGTTATCCGCCATGTTGGTGTACCTACAACCCCGCGTAGCCTATGCGCTATGTACATGGTTCATTGTTTTGTAGCTGGTTGCGGGTCAAAAAAAGTGGTAAACACAGTGTATCTTTTCCATGTGTGCCAAGGTGATTACAAATCAAGGAAAGGACCGAGAAAAACTGACCGAAAAACATCGCAGATTGTGGATTTTTGCGATCAGCCGCGGGGATACGGCCACAGAAATATCCCGAGATTGTGGCGAGTTACTATCGCCAAAGACTCTGGGCAAGCTTCACCCGCCTGGGTCCGACACAATGTTGCCTGGGTCCCTACTAAAAAAAACCTTGGAAGAAAGAAGTACAGAGATTGGGACAAAAGCATGCAAAAGAACAGAGGGAGGGGCGAGGGCCGAAAGGGCGAGAGAACGCAACAAGCGGGCCGCGGAACAGTCGGGTCTGGCGGCTTGACCGGGCGGGGCTTCTGACGCCAAAAGCCGCCCGACGCCACACAATGCTGCTGGATATCGCGTACGTGATCTTCCCTACACCGAGGTCAGAAATGTTCCTGTACATGCAGAAATGGCACCCAGGAATTTCTATTAAACATCGACAAAACAATAGTTTACACGGTGCAAGTGAATTTATTTTGATACACGTGGCAGTCTGACTCAATTTGAGCCTAAGTGCTAAAACTCCGAGTTCACCCTGACATGCCTGACAGCCCAACAAAATTACCGATCTTAGCACTAAAATTGCGTTAAGATTCTGCTTATCATGATACCCTAATATTGTAATGTCAATGTTCACAAGCTAATTCATGCATAGGTTGTGAGAGGTTACCCAAAAACTTTTTTTTCACGGCAAAACTACAACTACGGGTACGTAAACAAAATTATGCCCGGAGGCTCCCCTCCCAACGCCGATGATTTACTCCCGCAAACTCGAGGTGGCCAACAAAATTTCTGTCGACAGGGATGACAAGCCGTCATGTGAAATTCTCATTCTAATGGGGTTCCAACAGAGACATGAGTACTTTTTGGTGCTTGAAAAAATATTCATGAACTCCAGTTTGTCAGCGGCGAAACCGAAGGGGCTAGATGAAAGTGCACAACAAACAAAGCCGCCGGCGGGCATGAATCAAACTGGCATTTTGCATTATTACACACAGAACCCATAATTTTGAAACAGCAACCGATAGTAAAACAAGGATTTACATTACCAAGAAAAGCTGAAACTTAGGCTTACCATAATTTGATTGGGGATAACCCGTCCGCTCCACTCGAAATTGTTGTTTACCATTCCGCTACGCGAGCGAGTCACAAGTTGTCGCGAGAAGGAATCAGACACACGGGTGACCCGCGCACAGAGAACTGTCCAAAACACACTTCCCAGAACCTCTCTCTCTCTTAATTCATTTATTGAGAAAAAAAATAGACTAGAGTGACCAACATACGGATCCTGTCCACTGTAGGACTGTGAAGGAGATACTAGTAACGTTAGTCTTTGAAGTTCGTTCATACATACGCAAGTTTTGTCGTCCTATATCCTTTGCCATCGTATCTTTGACTTCCTATCCTCTCAAAAATGTACAATTTCATTGAAAACCTTGTCATCTGTCAACCATCAAAGACTGCAGAATTATCGTGTGGCTGTTAATTACTTGTATGACTTCGGTGCCAACGTCTTGACACTGCATAGCACTACACCGAGGTACACCAAAATGGCGGCCGCCTGTATTACGCAAGCCCCGTGACGTCACGTGAAAGCCGAGAATAGTGACCACCTGTCCACATAGACCAGATTCTATTGGTCCCTGAGGGGTCTTACTGCAAGTCTTGGGCAGTTTTGAACATTAGAGTACATGTACAATATAGGTCTCAGTTAAAAAAAGATTAATTACGCAATTCATTAAAGCAACACTGAATATCGTAGCAGAACGATTTTTGCTACTTTCCTGTAAAAACAAAATTATAGCCTTTTTTCTGTTCTGTCAACTACAAATGTACCATGTGATAAGCATTAATTATTTGGCATTACATGAGATGTAGGTGGAATTAGGCCAACTTACTGAGAAACAAACGTCATCATAATCAAATTAGCCAATCTTGACTTGCATGAAGTTATACTTGTGTGAGGTAAATCCTTCTTACTTATAATATCTGTACGTACATGTATCTGTATCAGTATAGCCGGTATAACCGCCCTTCTGTGTAACACACCAGCTTCACAGGCATGCGGCGCGGCGGCAGCTGGCTACATTACACCGAACGACATGTTACACCTAACCCTTGAACATCTAACTCTAAACATTGTCTAAAGCTTGTCTGCTATCTAATGGCTGCTATCTACTGTACTTGGTGACAGCAAGTTCCACTTTATCTACGATAGTTCTAGGAAAGAGTGAATTTATGAACACCTCAATCCTTGGTTGATAAAACTCTGGTACTTGAAGACATGAGTATTTCTTGTTCTCTTCTGGGCTGGTATTAGGTACTAAGTAGTTGGTACGTCCACCAGTTTATCAGTCATTTTGTACATCATGCATAGTCTGGACATATTTCTTCTGTCTTCCAGTGACACCCACTGTAGGTTTCTTTTCATTTCCGTGACACTAACACCTCTATCACAGTTGTTCATACAGAATCTTCGATCTTGCAGCTTGATTCTGTACCCTTTCCATTCTGTACCCTTTCCACTGAAATTCCAGTTTCCAATATGCAGACTGGCAGTGTCCATCTTTGTTTCTATACTAGTACTAGTAGCTTTGGGGCTAGTCCACTGGTAGTGGCATATGTTCAAGTACCAAGCCCTTTCTCTTATAAGTGCTGAGCACTAGCAGACAAAGAAGCACATATGTACCATTTATTAAGTCTTTTTGTTACCCGGCCAGGGTTTGAAGCTGTGACCACCTCAATGCAAAGCAAGCACTTCACCCAATGGGCGATTTTTTACAAGCTTCACCCTGAAATTGTAATTTGCAACATCAGCAAAGCCGCTCTTCACCAAGCCAGCTGACAACGTAAGTCAGATGTTTAAATATTTGAAACATAATGAAATCTATTGTCTTCGATACTTTAGGGGAGGTGACCACAACATTCCTTCAGAAAACATCCCGAACAATTGCTCCATTTTCTCCAGCGAACCTTGGCAAATGTTTAATTCATATCTCCTAGGGCTGATAGCAGGATGTGGTTTTGAAGGGGGAGGGGCCGGGGGATTCTCTTGCAACAAAAAAAGAACAGAGCAACCATTGAAGTATACATTGTACCTTAATTGTTCTATGAGATTATACTGAAAGGACAGTCCTCAGAAACTGCTGTAAATCTAGAAATGTTTGGAATGGTTACATTTTTGTAGTTTTCAGTCACAGTGAATTCATGACACCACAGACAAGTGTCCCCAATGTGTTACTACTGACTGTACATCATTATTGTTTAAACAGCGGATTTACATTGTACAACACTGCAAAAACCTCCTTCCCCTTCTATTGAAAATAAAGTCCTTGCAAATATAGATGAGTCTACAGTTGTATCACATTCCTACATAAGCAAGAATGAAGAAGTACTAGTACTGGAATGATTCCTTGGCACCTTGCCGTCTTGCATAACTAATTACTTCAAGGAGCCATCTCCATGAGTCTATTGTTCAATTTCTGAGAAGTCAGTTGGTCAGATCATTTTTACCTCCCTGGTCAGATGTTGAGAATTAAGAGGCATCCTCTCAAAATTTCTTTTTTATTTATCTACTTGCAAACCCCAAACCGATGTCTGGAAGGTAACTGCAAAGGAACACACACACATGTATAGTATCAAAATGTCTACTGATGTATCTGATGTTTCAATGTAAAAAAATGGTAATGCATCAAGAAGATATTGTGTTGTAGCTAAACGAAAATTACAGTATTTGCTGGGTGCAGTTAACACTGTATCAGAAAAATATGCATTGCAAACATTATATATTGGAAAACAGTATATATGATTATGAGATCTGTATTAAACAGTATCTGTATAGCCAGTATAACCACCTTTCGGCATAACGCACCAGCTTCGCAGGCACACGGCGTGGCGGCAGCTGGCTACATTACACCGATCGACTTGTTACACCTACCCCTTGAACATCTAACTATGCCCCTAATGTACTGGTGACAGCAAATTCCACTCTGCGATAGTTCTAGGAAAGAATGGAAAGCATGGCTATTTCTTGTATTAGGTACTTAGTAGTTGGGACGTCTACCAGTTTATTAGTCATTTTGTACATCATGCATAGTCTAGACATTTTTCTTCTGTCTTCCAGTGACCCCCACTGTAGATTACTTCTGTGACACTAGCACCTCTTTCATACATAGAGATATTGTATATACATGAACATGGCGCTATGCACGCTTTTCGGTAATGTGCTACTTGTCTGTCTAAAAAAGCCAGATGGAGCATGTCCATGTGCACAACTATAGTCAGTCTAATTGCTCTTAACACTTAATGGGTTCAGGTATCAGATTTCAAATATTTGCTAACCCAATATTTTCCCTTGCATATTTTCACATGCAGCTTTCTATGCATGAATTTTCGCACACAGAAGAGATCTATTATATAATATTTTCAATGGTGTATGACAGATACAGCCAGCTGTTGCTTGGCCTTACAAGGAAAAGATGTATTGATGATATTATATTTCATATCAACGAAATAAAGTTTGAAGCTAAACTGCACAGTTCTTCACCTGTGAGCCTGGATTTCAAAATATTTACAAAACCACAAAACATAATTTATGTAAACACTTCAAGGGACAGTTGAATAATAAGAAAAAAATTATGAATAATCATACAGGGATGACATAAAATAAAACGGTTGAATGGGTTCTCTGTAAAGGGTGGGCCGTGCCCTCCACAGATCACGAAGTACTGCAGCGTATGGTAAGGGAAGTAGAATGCAAGGTAAGCAAAAGTGTCAGCTGTCGTCGTCCATTTTTTTTTACTCAAAGGAAAACAAATGACGCAACTTACCTAGCGCGAACTCCCACTGTTCATTGCCCAGCGATCGTTCAGGAACGACCTCCAGGTCCAACATGGTGTCTTAATTGTATCCTTTAGGCTAATAAGCAAGTTCTGGGTCGATATCGTGGGGTTTGGGGACTTATTTTCGCTTTTCCACTTTCGTCAGGTCGTCACAACCGCCATTTTGGATGTTTTTGCTGCAACACGCATGCGCTAGGGTATTTGTAAATAAAGAGGTCACAGGGCGGCGCTTTGACTTCCGGGTCACTTCTGGTGATTGCGTCATAACTTCGTCTCGCCTTGGTAACGCACACGAACTAAGTAACCTTGTAACGTAAACGACGTCTTTAAGTGCCACACTAAAAATACCCAAGAGGATTTACTGCTCATTAATGGCTGTTCATCCATGTAAAGATAGAATTTCTCAGACAGAGAGAACACATTTTTGTTTGTTGTGACGTCGTCGAAAAATAGGTCTCATGGGCGCCAGATTTTGGTTCTTTGCCAAAAAGTCCGACAAAAACACAAGTGACACGTCACGCGGAATGCTATGCGTGATTTGACTTGATAAACATGATTGGTGATTGAAGTGACTGGCTCTTGGGCGTGTATCTTCTCATTGAATCACGATCAAACTATGGTACACTCACTGCAGAAATTGTGAAATTTCGGATGGAAAATTACTGAAACCCAATCTCCACAGTCACTTTGCACTGATTTGACTGAGTGTGATTTTAATCAGGTGTCTACTTCCTGTACTTTAAGTGTTGTATTCTCCTTTCTTCAAAGTCTACCACCTAACAATTTGCAGCCTACAGACCATGAAAGCACTCGAGTTTCTGTTTCCTAAACTGTACGCTGTCACTTTAACTCTACTCTGTTTTATCAACACGCAAACACCTGTCTTGGAAAACCTCGCGTTTTCCAAGTTGTTCGACCTCACAATTTTTCTCTTTTCAAATCTTTTTTTTTTTTGAAGTTGATTTAGAGCTAGCCTGTTATCTTTATATTTGAAAAATGATATCAAGAATACAGTGATATTCTGTAATTTTTTCAATGATAATTATCATTCACCATGACTGATTCCAATTAATTTGTACACTTGGCTATATCTTTACATCCTTTTCGAATCTTTTTTTTAGTTACTGAATAAGCCTCTCTCCTCGGATTTGAAAGTATTATCATATTAAAAGACTGGATCCGTGGACCATATAGGCGGATGGATACTTAAATTTGAGTGGTTTGCAACGTAACAGTATAGATAAATAGCTAAGGCTACATTACATAGATACAATATTACTGGGGGTAGTTGATACTTAGTAGTCCTTTCAATGAAGAATGGGAATAGGACGGTGTACTATCACCATCATGCAAGCGTGGGCTCATAATGTCAAGGATCTTTTCAGGAGAAATATGATTGGACGAGTTGCCAATGCTCTAACAAGATCAGACCTAAACCTGTGGGCGCTTGCAGTAGTGCGTAGGCCCAGCAACATACTAGTACCTATATATATATAAAAAGCAGGGGTGGTCACTCGTCTATTCCCTATTGACGTCTACGTCGTAGGCTACGACAATGTTACGTAAGTCTGAGAAAACGACGCATTACATAAATAATGGAGAAATAATGTTCCAAATAATATCACTATTCCCTTTCTCAGAAGGCTTAAATGGAAGTGTAAGTTTCCCCCCGTCCGTTTACAGGTCAAAAGACGGTGACTTTAGGGAAACAATATCCACCCAAAACGGATGGTCTCAAGTTGTTTGGACTGGTAGAAAGCGGAACATTTTTGGGTGAAGTTGACTTGATGCCCGAGGACAGAGTACCGGTGTGACATGGCCTCGAAAGACACGTGTGAGCAGGTGTTTCTAGCCGACCATGACCCGCCCACACTTCTCCTACAAGCCTGGTCTTTCACCTTCTATATACAGGTGCACAAGCTATACTTCAACACAACAATCGCCCCGCACGTTTTAGAGATTAAATAGACCAACCAGATAATTGAAAGCTCGCCATCAGATAGAGTTTAAAGAACCCGTTTGATCGTTTGAGCTGATAACTTTAAATTGAAATACCAACCAAGGTCATCTTTTCACGTAGCGGACAAAATCTGAAGTTGTTATTTATTTGCATCGTGGAGTATTTCACGCTTCACAAACCATAAATAAACTTGATGTGTATTAGAAATTATCAGAGCAAGCGAAAGTGCAATTTGAAATGGTTTTATTGTTAGTTATTACGAGTTTTAGTGTCTTTGTCTGCGGAGGACAATGTCAAAACTATGCGGGTTCACTGTCACTACTCCCAACTCGCTTTAATTTACGACTAAACTAAAAAAGAATTAAAAGAACCTTACTTGAAAGGGGCAAACCTCACCTGACATAGCAACTCCCTTGTCTATACGACACAAACGGAATGCGAGTTTATACAGCCGAGTGTGCATGTGACAAACTGGCTCAGCATACACGTACTGATTGGTGAATATATTGGTGAGGTTTTCCTTTTTCACCTCCAAATCGAACCCAAAACACGTAATCTTTTGTCTTTCGTCAACTAATACCTCTAGCTGATTATTGTTTACGAGTACCCTGTCCAGTGTCGTTGCTTTAGATGCAAACATTGCCGTGACAGGTTGACAAATTGTCTTATATCATTTCCAATGCCAAGAGGACGTCTGTCTCCGATACCAAATTAAATATTTATGCACCCCAAGTCTAGTAGCGAGAGAGCTCCCGCCATAAGATTGATTGAAACCAGATTTGGACATGCGTTGAGAGAGACTTGCCCAAAATTGGCAGCAAGGCGTGACGACAAAAAGTGCCGTTTTTATATACACGCGTCGCTACCCACGTGCTTGAGGCAAAGAATAGTAGTAGCTTTCACCAACGTGCGTTTTCTGCGTCAAAGGACAGCGCGCCCCCTTCCCCATATATGGGACGTAATGAACGCAAATATTATGAAACAGCTAGTGGTTTAATTAGCATATCAATGCGAGCGCCAATCGCAGCCATGAGACGACTTCCGCCGAACACGCCCCTGTGCCCGAAGTGAACCGAGGATGACCATATAAGGAAATCTTCGGTATCAGGGGCTAATTTGGCTGTGGTCCCGAAGTTTAGTCATGACGCAAGGGCCAATCAGGTGCGACTGCTCGGGCTTGAAGGGTGTTACACAGGATCCGCTTTGTTTATTTCATCATTGTGCGACAGAATGAATGGGCAACTTTCCAGCACTGTGGTGCCATTTGTAAGCGGCATAGGTCGCCGAGAGGAAGCAATTTTGGCGATGCCCTACATTATGCCACGAGTTGTGCCTGATCAGAAGGCAAAATTTGAGAACGACGAGTTTTTTCGGAAGCTGGGACGGGAGTGCGAGGTAAATATCGCCCGTAGAGTGGCGCGGGGTCCCCCCGTAGCAAGTTACTTCAAGTCCACGCAAACTAGGAAGTGAAACGTTCGCGCTTGTTGCAACTACGTAGTAACTTCGAACAAAGTTGATACAAGGTTCTGACGCTTGTTTTCTGGCTCGATCTTCCAGATAAAGTACACAGGGTTCAGGGACCGGAGCCATGAAGAGCGGGTGGTGCGATTTCAGGCGGACCTGCGAGAGGGACACGCCGAGATAGTAAGTAGGCCATCCCGGGCCATCCCGTCTGCCTGGCCGAGTGTAATCATGACCGAACCTCGCCTGCCACCACTTCCGGTGATCAGACTCCGTCCCCGACAGCGGGCCATGTGGACGTTTTAACTGCCGTTTTTCGACAAAACAGCGTCCGATCCACCTTTGTAACCTGTTCTAGGACGTAGACATACACACGGACAGTTACGTAGACGTTGGATGTGTGTAGTTTATTAGCGAATTTGGTTGTAAACACACTACGGTCAACTTCCTCTCATTTCCTTGTCCCTCCTAGGCATTCGTGGCAACCGGGACCAACTTAGCTCTCCAATTCTCTCCCAGCGCAGACAAGGCGCCCTCCAAAGAGTATGTAGATTTTGAAAAGGAACCCGGAAAGGTAAGATACCTGACTTCATTACTGACGTTACCTTTGAAGGTTATAGTACTCAACTGCGGCGTTTTCCTAGTAGTGTAAAGTGGATCGGTACAAGGCCGCGGTTGTGGTCGCCGGATCTTACGTGGATGTTGTCGGATTTACCCCAGGCTACACTCTTAAACGCTTCCTTTACACATCAGAGACCCTAAAGCTTGGTGATCTCTCCTACCCACATTTATGGACAGTGAAAAATCTGAGGACTTATTTACACTTCCCCGAAACCTTGAATTATCGTCGACTGGAAAGGTGACGGCCGCTCTGACGGTGATTCAACACATATCATAGCGTCTTACTGTGTGTTGTTATGGGCCGGTCTCCAATATTGTCATAGGTTTGAACTCTTGATTTTGAGAGCGTGAACAGCGTGGTTGTCCTCACATATAGACCGTTGAGTCAAGTGGGTTTGGTCGAGTGAGTCATGTTTAAATGCCATTGGTGACACCCATAGAAACTGTCCACGGTATTCAAAAGACGGCGCGCGACCCACGTGTGTTCCACGCCGCCTTTCTAGGACATTTTTCACCGCTAGCTACATGTATCTGTACTGTCCCGCCACTGGATACGCTGTATTTTTGTCGGACAGACATCCTCAATTCCACTCGTAATTCCGAAACAAGCCAATGTTATCCCCATCATAATTAGGGCCCGCCGGAATAAAACGGGAAAAACGATATTGGGCAGTCCTGGCCGTCGCGAGCCCGATAGCTTTTACAACACACAGGAGAGTCTACAACCTGCCGCATGTCCCATCCATTACCGAACGGAATGTCCGCGCGGTATGAATTTTTTAGCGACACCGACTCAACTTTTCACGAGGCCTGGCGAAAATTGAAAAATAAAAGAACCTAGGGCCAGTATTTCACGATTTCAGGCAAGCAGTTAAAATTGAATTGTTCTGAAATATTCATCGAGCGGTAGGACGTTGGGAGGTAAAAAGACTTAATAAGGTTAGTGGGGCACATTTGCGAAATGAGCGCACATCACTATTGTATATGTTAGAAAAAGCACACACAACCACCTAATTTTACATCCTTAGTCAGAGATAATTCCTTTTGTTTTGTGGGTGTCACAAGTATCACCTGGTTCACTGTATTTCCTCAGTAAATAGGAACCTCAAATTAACTTTCAGGATAAAGCCAAATTAGATAGCTAGAGGGGGAACCAATTCATGGCGACATTTGCATCTTTGATGAGAGGAAAACCTAATGGCATTGTGTAGCAAATGTTTGAACACAACAATGTGGGTGCCGCTATTACTGAGAAAATACAGATAATGTTTTATAGGCATCATTACAATACCATCTATGGACAAATGTGAGTAGAGGGAGGAATACAGGACAGGTGATTTCAACATTACAACTGACAATGCTGATTCACTGAACACTGTCCATTATGCTATATATAGGCACAGTTGTCTGTGCTGTCCACAAAATCAAATACTTTCTCCTTGGACAACCACTATACTAAAACATAGACGCTGCCATCAATTTCCATCTTTAGCAAAATTGCTTTTTAAGAAAAGTTAAGTTTTGGTTATAAAATCTACTATAAATATCTGTACAAATAGGTACAGCCTTATTGACACTTTCAATGTTGTTTTTGGTATCTTTGATTTTCTACCTCCATGCTTTGATGTAGACAAAAACAATTCTATGCACTGTGCTACTGACCTTCACCATTTGATTCTTATTGAAACATTTGTCTCTCTTTCATTTTAAGAATAACATTTTTCTATGGAACAACAGAATCATGTACCGCGGTATCTCAAACAAGCTCAATCATATATCTGGGCACTCAGGACTATAAATAAATAGGATTGAAAAGTACCATATCTATACATGTCCCTCCAAGGAGCAAAATGGACACCTGAGTCTTGGCAATTTGACCGAAAGAAATTTTGGCACTGGTCTTTAGCATTTCTCCAATCCTGCCAAACATGTAGGCAGAAACATTTACAATATATTGACCTGGGCATAGCTGGGACTAGCCAATGCTTATTTTTACAATGGCAAAACCTGACAACTGCCTTTTCACAGTGTAGTGAAAGCAGTCACATCATTGTGGCCCATGTCGTGTTTACAACTCATGGCCAACATGACAAATAAGTTACAGTGTTTCCATTTGGCACCTGATCCAGTGGGTAGTGTGTCAGGTAAAGGTGTTGGGTTCTGGAGCAGGCATCAATCATCCAGGTAGATAGATGTATATACACCTGACTAGCCGAGCTGCCCCCGAGGTGGCCGTGTAGGTTTGTGCGGTCGCAGGGGCCACGCTAGTGTGCCAGGGGCACTTCCAGCAGACAGGGGACCCAACCCAACAAACGGGGCATACTTGGGATACTTGTATCAATGAAGTATGTCACATCTGGCTGATCATCTTCTGCTCAGATGAGTCTATTGTCGGTGTCATTCGATCCACTGGGGGGTGCAGGAAGTTCGCGGATTTGAACCTGTGTGGTCCCCGGGCCAACCGTCTTTTATCCCGTCCATGGACGGACCATACCTTTGGCTCCCCACGTAAATAGCCCCGGAGAAAACTAGAAAATGACCCTTGTAAACTTGGAGAACAGGTGGGTTGTTTACTAGGAATGTCACTGGCTTTCAAGGCACTTAATTCTGACACAGATTTAACCGTGTTCATGGCCTACATGTGTGACATGTTTACTTGGTTTCCACACCTTAACCTACATGTCAGACATTGGCTTTCTTTCACACTGTCTATTGCTTTGGCTGTGAATGACACACAGTCAGGATTGTCCAACAAGCTAGTGGCTATTAAAAAGTGTTATCCCTGCTGACAAGACAGCACAGAACATGGGATTTGAACAAAAAAACAATTTAAGTACCAGTATTGCACAATACATTTTGACAATCTATGATATTGAAGCCATAATAACAGACAAGTACCAGTGCAGTCAATACTGTACATGTACATGTGCATTCACTGAAAGTATAATGAAGGTATTCCTAAATTATCTTGCTAACTAGATCGTCCTTGACACTTGATGTTTACATGATGACATTCCAAACTGACACTCTGTCAGCCGTGAACCTTGTTTGTTTTCTGTGGGCCTAGAGTGACAGGAGTAGTTACCTGTGTCTTCTTGAAAGCAACAATATAGCATACAGCACCGGAAAATGATAACATTACCAATAGAAAGAAATGTAAATGATGCTGTAGGGTGACCCCCATTTCATGTAGACTGCCTTTCTGAAATGTGGCTTCTTTTCTTCTACTCATCCTACTTCCAAATTACCAGTGAGGACGACGTCTCTTTTTATTTACGTTTCTTTGAACCATCTCTGAAACTTTTGCTGCATAATGACTAACAAAGGATATTTTGATCAAAATGATATCATCTTTGATGGTCAACTTGTTGTATACTTTCTAAAACACGGAGTGAAAAAACCTGCATATTACAACACGCGGCTCCACTGGTCTTGTTTACGGGGACCAACACTGGCTCAAGTGTTCCCTTTCCTTTATCCAGGACAACAAGAAGTCCCTGCTCTTGACCTATGTCCTTGATTGAACGATTCCAAACAAAAGCACTACAATCCATCATAAGCATTCAAAATGTTTTTTTATGTAACTCGGCAAATATAGATATCAAAGGTGACGTTAGACTTTAATCTTTACCCTGAACCCATGGACTGTTATTCAATATAAAACTGATATGTGGCCTCATTGGAACTTCTTTTTAATTTGGTAATGTTTATACTTTTGTCTGTGTAATGCTTATTTTCAAACATACTCTAGTACATGTATGTAAATTACAATTTGGAAGGTAGTATATCGTTTTGACTTTAAACCTATTTCCCTTTGCAAGGCTGACTTTTCTTTTCATTTGAGTGTGTTTCCAAAATTTTACAAATTGTATTATAATATATTACTTTGCACATTTAAGACCTCACACAGATAGTCTCAGGTCTTTTTGGTATAACCCTGTGTATGATGAAGCCATTTTGACATTGTCCTGTTGTTTCTGTGCAGGTTCACTTACTTATGATATATTACTTTGCACATTTAAGACCTCATGCAGATAGTCTCAAGTCTGTTTGGTATAACCCTGTGTATGATGAAGCCATTTTGATGTTGTTCTGTTGTTTCTGTGCAGGTTCACTTACAAGCGCGGTTCATCTTGAACGGTGTCTGTGTCCGGTGGAAGGGCTGGATCGACCTACAGAGGTTAGACGGCATCGGCTCTATAGAGTTTGATGAGGAGAAAGCAAAGGTTGGTATCATCTATTCTGAAATATTTATATTAACCTTTTGGTGATATATTTATTATTTAGCCCATAACTCTGACACAGTCATACAATTATTACAAAAATTGCCATAAAGATTAACTGAATACATACAAATCATATACAAGCTTATGTATGAATGAGCACACTGTTGTTATATTTTGAATAGCTGATTTTGGATTACCCACAATTGGAAAGATTATGTGCAGTACGTAAATTTAGGACAAAGGGTATTAGGTGGTAAATTGTTCAATCCATTTTTAACATTTGATTTCTAACATTAATATACTTGAGTAATAACAACCCACATGGACATGAGGGTATATAGGGTGTAAAACCCACCTGGTGCAATGAACATTTACCTGTAAAATACATGCAGGTGTGCCAACCTCACGGCTTGTAGCCATACAATGGGCAAATTAGTCGTTCCAGAAACTACACAATTCAATTTGTATTCCGTGCTTTTACTAGCAGTGGTCAGGGTAGGGTCAGAAAGGCAAATGTTTTTTGTTCAGTGCACACATTTTTCTCCTAATGATAAAAGGTCTGTAACACAGAGGGATGTGCTCCCCTATAGAATCATGTCTCGTCCGTTAATCCCTAAATTACAGTGTGGACAGAAAAGGTCTGAGAGGGACAAAATGTGGCTGTTTCCACTATTCATTAGCAATAAGTCTGTTAAACATGCAACAAAAGTAATCTGACCAGGAAGTGGAAGAAAAATCTCTTCACACGCAATTTGAAATGATTTCTCTTTCTGTTTGTATACCTCTATACGGGCGGAAAAGCAATTTTCATCATGCTCTGCTGATATTACACCCATTTGATTTTATCAGTAAACACCTACACATATACGGGATGTGTCTTTAGCTTTTAGGTTACCTAATTGTGTAGAATGACATCAGATTCCAAATAATAAGGCCATTAAATGACTCTGAAAACAGACAAACTGTCTTATGTGCTAGAACTACCAAACTGAAAGCAGAAACTGGGAAAGCGTCATTGTCGGGAGTAGGGTTCAATAGAAACTATGAGAATCTAGGCTGCCAACCTCAACAAAGAAAGCAGGTATTTCAGATCTGTAAAACTCATTCCCTATAAACTCATTACTAGTATCATGGCTTAGCTTGATTTGTATGATATGTATTTCCTGTTACCTTTAGTTTAAACTGTGGAGCTATTATTTAGGAACAAGCAATCACACTGATAGACCACAGTCACACTTTTGTAACATTACAAAGTAACATGCCCCTTAGTCATTGCATAAAGATGGCTTACGAAAGGGAAAAAGCAGAGACTACAAACTGGAACAATTAATCATTCTGCTTGTGCCTTAACCTGTCTGCTGAAGATATAACATAATTACAAGAGCCTTAAGTGAAACGTACGCCCATTATTTCTACATTATGCTCTGTGTGCAAGTTCGGCAGAAAGGCTTGTGTGACTCACGCTTGTCAGCTTTGTCTTGGAACAGCTGCGTTGAAGGAACCTGTGCCGAACATGAAAGGGTCATGAAAAGGAAACCTTGTGTGGTCTGCTTTTTACTAAAGCTTTGTACAAAATGTCCCCTGTGCCGTAACTAACGAGATCAGCTTTGAGTCACACTTTGTTAAGTCAACAGTGTATCATCAGTATGATGTTTAAACAGATGGATTCCGAGCAGATTACAACTCCAGGAAGGGCCATCCTACCGTGAATGAGTCTCTTCATCAAATAAAGTGAAATGAGCAAATTTCATTGAACACGATCAACACAATTAGATCTTCAAGGGTATGAATTTTATGGTAATGTAGGTTTTTTGGGTACCCCACATCCAGAGCTCAGCTGTCCTTCCAGCAAAGATGTTAAGGTCTGGTAATTAATAGCCCGACATGTAGTTCTACATGGTGATTACAAGATGGAGAAATTTGTAATTGGGTCCAAAAAAAAGCTAATCCTTCCTCATTATCTGCTAAATCCTTTCTCATTTAGGCAACTTTCCTGTCAGACAGCACAGATAACATCTTAGATTCCATTCCCAGCCAGTTACTTTGCCGTTATTCAGTCCCATTTTTTTAATACCTGCCGTGATTGAAAACTGAAACTATATCCATGTATGGAAAGTGAAAGCATAAACAAGAATGATGTTGGGTTTAAAGTCCACAACTTACTGGCATTTTGTTGACATTGACTTGGGAGAAAGAAGCACTTAAAACATTGTGTAAAAAAATGAGGTAACACTTCTTTCTATTCAACTGTAAAGATGCCTTTATTGTGACCCGGATAATGAATATGACGACACAAAATATGTCTGCAACTGTTTTGGAGCCAAACAAGGGCCAAACATATCTTCCTACCTTTTTAAAAAGTTCTGTCTGCCGAAAGATGTAATAATCAGACGTGCACAACACCCTAGCTATTGTCCTCCAATCTCGTCTGGAAAATGTGACCAAAGAAACGTGTACAAAACCAAACAATGCAGCATTATTTACGGGATGATTGGGCGTTTGTGTGCTAGCTGTCACCGATGACAGTAGAGAAGCCAGCATGTAGGGCAATTCTGCAGGGTGTCTCACTGTTCAAGGTGTGTCTAATGAGCGCATTGTGGTGGGGGCAAGTCTTTTGTCCCCGGCCAACACCAAGTTCAAAGAACAAAACAACAAAGAAAGAACAGGTGCAGGAAAGGCGATTGTCCCTAAATATAGAAACCGAACAGGTGACTGATATCATGTTCGATATCACGAACCTGAACAAGCTGAACTGCAGTGTGCTATATTCCTACTATGAACCTGTAGGTTTTCCATTTTCAATCCCATCTACAGACTAAGTAAATACTTGTACCCTGAATGTAAAGTTAACAAGGAAATGAGTGTTAACTTAAGACATTACAAAGATGATTAATCTGTTGAATCCTTCAGGTTTTTTTTAGTATGACTATGAATCATGCTCTACATGGCTGCATGATCTCAGCCTGAACAAGCCTTTATTTGTACACTACACTGTATGTATTTGCTGTGTGTGTTTATAACAACATAGTTTCAAGTTGCCACAAAGTTGCTCAATCTTTGGAGTCTTTACTGGATGCTCTCAAGAGTTTCCCTGTGTATGTTGGAATGGATACAATGACTAATGCATCAACTACAGAATTTGAAAAATGAATAGGGATGAAGGCAGGAATTTGAACATTTTGGACGGGAAGCAAATTAGAGGTGGAAAAAGGATTTAATGTGCAATCGTGATAACACTGATGCCATACATTTTGTCTTGAAAATAGACAGACATAATCTTTGTTGTGAAATGATATCTCAAAGCATGTCTATGATATTATAAATGATGATATCTTAAGGAGAATCATTCAAAAATCTTGAAATATCGATATGATGTTCTTCTAACATTTAGATTAAGGAATCAGAAATAACCAATGTAATAAAATAACATGATATTAGTGTTTTAAAGAGTTTGAAGAAGAATTTAACATTTGAATTTCTTTAAAACTTAAGATAGAGGAACAGCAGATGAAGGAAGCCATGGAGCAGGCCACAAGAAGACAGCGAGAGTTTGAGGAGAGACAACAGGCACACAGGGACCAGATGGAGAGAAGAGCAGAGGAGGAGGCAGAGGTGGGACCATCAGCTTTTGTGAGTGTGGATTTTAATAACAAACAGACATGCACTAACACTATGTAGCATATCCTCTTTCACACATTGCAGTCTTTCATTGGAAAAGCATCTATGGCCAAGTTGTCCATGGATAGTTTTCATTGACGTTACATTCATATCTACTAACTATGATCCCCACTGTCTGAAAGTTATTTGTAAAATTTGTGCTCTGTGCGTGACCTCTATAACATACAAACATACTCCTCTAGCCCTGACACTCTTCCAGTGGTTTCGTTCTATCAAATACTTATAAGCTTGAAAATGAATAGTCTTAAATGCTGCTTTTGAACAGAAGTGGATTAAATCTAGGAGTAGGAGGTCGTATTTAACCTCCTTGATTAAATTAGGAAGACTTTCTCTTCAGTATATATCTTCTACTTTTGGGAAACAGTATGTTAATGCTTCATCTGAGTGTAAGGTTGTGCTAGGTACTTGGGCAACTGGAGTAGACGTAATAATTGGCAGCGATTCCACAAATAGCAGGAATAGTCAACAGGGACTTCCTGAGTGGAGCGTCGTGTAGAATTATTGTGGAGCTATCGCATGTCTCGTGACATGGAGAATACAGGGAATATAGGAAGCATATTGGCAGGGTTCCTCTCTTTTAAAGAAGTTGTAGAGGTTGGCCATTTTCTGGAGTAGAAATCCTTTCATCACTACCAGGACTATACATCTGTGTCCATATATAATATCACCAGGGTCCATAATATCGCCAACTTGAGAAATAGTGTGCTTAAAGATATTTTTACTGCAACATACCCTAGGTATGTACATTTGAGGTGTGAAGGAGTGCATACCAAAAGTATGTTGCAGTAAAAATATCTTTAAGCACACTGTTTTTCAAGGTGGCGATATTATGGACCCTGGTGATATTATGGACACAGATGTTATATTCAGTCTGTAGGTTTTAACTACACTTCCAAAATGTGGAGGTAAAATTTCCCATGCCTTCAAGCCACAAGGAGTATACTAGTACTAGACTATGGGTGTGCATCTAGGTCATGCATTGTCCTTGTGTTGCTGAAGTAGTCAAATGTTGTGTGTTGGTCTGTTATGGAGATGGTTAGATACTTCCTGGGCACAGTTTTCCCCGCCATGACAGCCAACCACAAGAGTCGGCCAGGAAGGAAGTTGAACAAGAGACAGTAGAGTAGAATTACAACTGCAGCCTAAACAAGCAATCCTCTCGCTTAAAGATGTTAGTACCAGGCAACACATTGCCTCTAATGCTTCCTACATATTCTTCCTGTGTAGCTTTTTTCATCCAATAAAATGTGGATGTTTGTGACAGTGAGAACTTCACGCTTTTGAACCAGGAAGTTTCGCAGTGTGCCTTCTTTACTCTGGCATCAGAAATAGGCTCTAAGACTCTGCGTAATGGAGAGTTGATTCCCCAGTAATCCCCTCTTCCATAAAGGTGTTTAGAAGCAGGTAGTTTATCTAGTGGATGATCTGGAAGTAACTTGGCCTCATATTACCCGTACACACAGGCACTTTGATAGGCAGATGATTTTGCGGCCGATGTTTTTGAAAATTGAAGCCACAAGAACATGTTAGCACCAGTACTTAAAACGGACAACATATGGCAATGATAAATATACCAGCTGTAGTAGCCCCATAGCAGTAACGGATATTCAACTTTTAGTTTTAGAGGCAGGTAATATACTGTATTCCTGTAGGGAACGGGCATTGCCTCTCAGTCAGGGTTCCTCTCAGTACTTCCTGTCTGTCTGAGAGGGATTTTCCCAGACGGAAGTCTTTAAGCGTGTTCCGTAGGGTACAGGCGCGGAGTGAATCCCGTAAGTGCCTTTCCTTGTCGCAGGTGTTTGTTGTGGCATTCTATGTCACAATTATGGTGATAATAGCACAATATTTCACACACAGCTCATGTGAAGGCTTGAAGTTGACCATTTGATCATTTGTGACAGCAAGCCACAGTCTGCGGCATAATGTTTTTGGTGAAAAACAATTTGCCCTTCTTGTGATAACCAGCTCCCAATCTTACCAATGGTCCCAAAGAAGAACAGGTGGTTGGAAATGTTATACATCCTTGAGCAAATAGCTCCTACACGGAAATAAAACAGGCATTCTCCATCTTTCAAAAAGACAGATTTTTAGTATTTGCGTCTCCTACTAACTGTAGTCCCTATAAGTGGTATTTACTTTGATCGTATTTATCTAGCTATTTGTGATTGAAGCATCATTCTCCAGGGCATGAGTTGTTAAGCAGCCTGAGAACGATTCTCCTTGTGGCTGGGGACCCATTGTCTGGCATGCAAGTGGGCATTTCTAGGGAGAAAATGGCATTTGTATAATCCCTGTGCCCTTGTGCACACAAGTTACACGATAATCTGTCAACACTAAGGGTAGGAAATCACCTGAAGATACACAGACACATGCTTTCCTCGGGAAAAACTTGCTCATAGCTTCCTGGCTGATATCTTTCCTCTAAAAGTGAAAAAATCCTCCGAATTAGCAGGCCAATCATGTCATGAAAAACGTGTTATAGGTAAGATATTTTCATGTTAAATGTTCGGTCATTTGTGCCGTATGGTGTACCAAGATCACATGAAACAGACAGGCAAAACATTCCCATAACATAATTAGGGATCCTGAAAAAGAAACGAGGCTAAAGATATATAGATTGTTGGGGATCAAAGAAAGGATTTAGCTTAGTTAGTGTTTGCAAAATCCATCAGAATTACTATAGTCCTTATCTCGACCTGGCTGATACTGTGACAAATGTGGTGACAGAATCCGACGGGCAAATATTGTGCCTGGCAATACCATAGCTGTTCTTTTGTTGACGGTCGCTTGTCGGGGAGATTGGCGGATAATTGAAGCAAAAATGTCCAAAATGGCACTCCCTTGCTTGGACAATGGAGGAAGTTTGAGTCGGAAGCACGCGTGTAAAATGTGGTCAGTTCTGGCAGCCGGGGCGGCCCAACCCCGAGGAGTGACGCCGTGACAGGAAGTGTTGTTTGCGACTGGCTGCCGACATCAAAGCATGGGATATCACTTTGCAGGTTTGCTTTTGTTTGGAACAATAGGCCGATGTTGACATATGTTTGCCTCCCCTAATGTGTGGAGGTTTAATCATATCATAGCCCTAGGCTGCTGCTCTAATATGTGTAAATGAACTCAAAAGTAGGATTAGAGCTACTCCTAGGGCCTAATCGTCAGTGAAGGTCACTCGTGAAAGGGACATCCCTTCACACATCCTCTGTTTGCCTTCGCGTGTTTGTCCGACAATCACAACACCGTGATCTCGTGTTCCTGTTTTTCCTAAGCATTTTGATTTGCAAGTTTGCTCTCTGGAGCAAAGGCGACGGACTTCATAACCTCTCCAGATTACATTTTATGTAACTTGTTTGAACAAGACTTACAAGGCTTATTGGAAATTTTACAGTGGTCTTATGGCTAAGCACATTGTAATGGCATTCATTTGATGTGTACATGTGAATGTACCGGTATCCTATGTTTTGTCTTTCACTTAGTAATACGACAAACGTTATTATCCATACAGTTCTGTGAAAATGCTAGTTTTTTCCCCTAAATGTTCCATGTTCCAAGGATAAGTTACATTGATCATAAGTACACTCTACATACATCGTAAACAAACTGAAGGCTTGGACACCAGGATAACAACATGAAAAAGCCAGATAAAACAGACTTTGTGGCAAAAATTTCTTTGCAAAAATAAACTACAGTACAGAGTTGTGTACCAGTAACTGGTAAACTGGCAGTGAAAACATAAACAAGAAGTGTTTTATTTACACCATAAGTGGCCAGTCTGGCGGGCAGGTTGTCTGTTTATCACATTTCTGTTGACGTCAACTATGTGTGAAGTGTGACTGCATCATCATTTGAAAACAGGAAAGTGTGAAAAGAATTAGCTGCATAGAAAAGGGGAGCATCCCCCCTCCCCCCTGACTTATGGGATTATCTATGGTGATTGGTAGATTACGTTATCTTGTACAGTATTGTGTTTAATTAATTGGGCAATTTTCTTTTTATGATGACTCGTGAAATCAGTGTTGTTGGACTGTACAGGGACAGAGACATGGATGACTGTTATCATTGTTTGGACACAGGACAATGTCAAATTTAGAGTGATACCCAAAGTGGAAATGTTGGATATATCATATAGAAATTAAAAAAACAACAACGATTGGCAATTCTATTGAAGTATCATATAAGAACATTTAAAGTGATCAGTCTCACAGAAAAGAAAAAAAAAACTCGAAAGACATGTCAAATCTTTGCTATTGCAATGAAATAGCACAGCAATTTTGTTGCAACTGAAACTTTTTGTGTAAGGTGGTCAAATGAAAGATGGAAGAGCAAAAATATCTCCAATTGGCTGGACATTGATGAAGGGCTAATACCAAGCTTTCCTGGCCTGCACATATCTAAGAAAGCCTTAGGAAACTAGGAAACAATACCTTTAGCTAAAGTAAATGATGTTATAGGGTTATAAGTAGGTCAGAAGTGGCCACAATCACATGAAAGCCTGACAGGACAGCAGTGCTCTTTTGTAGGGGATTGATGGAAACACGTCATTTAGCAGGCCAAACTTTTGTTTTCTTCCAGGCCATTGATGGGCAGATTTATTTGATGGGTTGAGGATGCTGTCATTTGGGCCGGTGTGTTTTTGTTCATTGGCCCCAGTGTACCCCTGGTGTCCAGCGATGGGCAGGTGGTATATAGGTGACACAGAGGAGGAAAGGAGAGGGACAGTGGAAGTAGGACCCCCCTTGGTGTGGGATGCGGGACGGATCTTTAAACTACATTGATTCTATTGCTTCTTTTTTTGTGTCACTGGACATTGGATTCACCCATTATCCTCTAAAGGTGGTTGTAAAAACTAACAAGGAGGATTAAAAGGGATTCTGGCCATTGTGAGATGTGGTTTTTGACTATATTTTTGCTTGTGTGTTGTGCCCAACATACAAGGCTTGGATTATGGTTCTGACCAC